GAGGAGAAAAACACAGAGAGAGGGATCACTTCAAGCCGGCATGGCCCGGGCCCAAGACTGCAGATGACCCCAGCCACAACGCCCTGCGTCACGGAAGTCAGCATCCGCCGACTAGCTGAGAATGGGAGGATAGAAATGGTTTTCTCTCTTCGTCTCCCTTTCTTTTACCCCCCTTTCCTTTCCTATGAACCTCCATGTCTCTGTCCGTCCGTACCTACTAGCTCAGAACAGCCGCAAAATAAAAATGTTTGATGTGTTTGAAACCTGGGCCTCTGTTCCAGCCATCAGTCCCAGGGTAACCCTTATAGCTCTTGGCAGAAAAGAGTCCGGGTGACTCTAGTAGCCACTAGCCCTACACTTTCGCCTTCCTATCCCCCAATTTCTGCTGCTAGAAATGTCTCCAAAACTGCTACAAAAAGTCCTTCCAAGATAATAAGAGGCTAGGGGATGAGATTATCAGCGCACTCGGTCTGTAAATATGCACAAATGCACAAGCAGAGTAGCAAAATGAAACCTCTGAGGGTTTCCAGATCCCCTTCTGCACAATAACCACGTTGCAGTTTTTCCCTAAGGATTTTTCCTCCCGCAACAATGTTAACACAAAGTTTTCCTCTCCATTCTTTCTTTTATTATCTTTGAAATTTGCTCCTGCTCCCTCAATCTTTCTCAAGTTGTTGAAGCATCTACTTCTATTTCAGTTTGCTTGAGAACCATGACCAGCAAGAAAAATGAAAAGACCCACTTCTAAGGTCTTCCTCGCTGATCTTACCCTACAAGGGACAATCCTTGTAGGTTCCACCTAGGGGGCACTGCCCTGGCCCCCTCTCCAGCTCAGTAAAAACAGAAGTGGGAACATTTCTACAAACAGAATGGACCAGAGGAAAAGATCCATACAAAGTAGGGGGAGGGCACCTCACTCCCCCCTCCAGGAGACAAACCTAAATAGTCCCCCTGTTCTGCTTTTAAAAGGACAGGAGTTCAAAGGGACACACACACACACACACACACACACACACACACACTCACATAACTGAGAGAGAGAGAGAGAGAGAGAGAGAGAGAGAGGAGGGAGAGGGAGAGGGGGAGAGAGAAGGGGAAAAGGTAAAAGTGATTGGTTCCTTTTATAAATGTGTATGCAGAATTAGATACAGGAAGGTCTGTTAGCAGTTGAGCAAAACCCTATCTCCATAGGAGGAAAGATAGTCCTAGAGGTGCAAAGTGAGCTCTCCCTCTCCAGAATCTTAAGCTCACACACTAGTCAAGTAAACAATGAAAACGGCTCATTTGTCAGAGGTTAGAAGGTAGATTCAAAAGTTTTTCCTCCCTCCGCCTACTCTATGTGAGATCTTCCATTTCATAGGATGAGGACTTTACCTTGCCTGTGACCAAACAATTTGGAAAATCCCTCCCCCTTCCTCTAGTTCCCCACATCCCCTATTTCCTCCCGCTTTCTCCCTGCAAAGTATTAATAACCCCCCAACTGCTCAGTTTTACCTATCAAGATTATACTATTTCATGATTTTGCAATAAGAAAAAGCGTTGCACACTAAGTGGACAGGGAAAAATTGTGACTGCATACTTAAATCTTGACTAAACTTTAATATAAGTTCTCGGCTCCAGAAATTCTATAACTTACAAAAGCTAATTACTTGTTAATAGACACTGGAGAGTTTTTTAAAAAATAGATACATAATACTTTGATATTATTTAACATAATAGTGAAGATGTTATCTCTTCCGTTTGTTATTAAAACAATAAAATTTTCTTTAGGAATTCTACTTACTTCCTAAGGCAGAAAATGAAATTTCTGACATATATATACACAGGTTAGAGAAAATTTGAGATTTGTGAACATGAAGTTAAGGCACAAAATAAACTGAAAGAGAGAGAGAAAAAAAAGGAAAACTCAGAAAGTTCCCAATGTGGTGTTAGTCTTGTCACTATGGGCAATTCGCTCATTTTATCAGTTACCAGATTTTAATGTGAGAAAGGAAGCTGTTCAATTATCTAAATATACCAATTGTTCGTAGACAGATGATGAGCAATTTGATCTGCTCTGTCTAATTCATCAGCTCAGATAAGATAAGAAAGAAAAGATAGTCAGATGTCACCAAAGGGTTAATATTTAAAAAGATTAAATATCCGGTCTTTTTGCAGGGAATATTTGGGTTGGTTTTGAAATTTTCCAAGAAGGGACTCTTGCCCTAAGAGGAAAAGGGGCAATATTTCTATCTGCACTTTCAAAGTGCACTTCTAAACATCCTTAGTTCAAACTTTTATTTTGCGTATTGCATTGACATTTCCACAGAATTTGTAAGTTACTAAAATACTGAACTATAAAAAATAAACGAATAGGGAAAAACACCGCATGATACAATAAAAACCAACCTTTTAAAAAAGAGAATTTAGAAACCCGAAGTTATCCATCTTTAAATTTCTGTTTGTTTGTTTTGAAAGGGGGAGGGTGAAAGAAGAACACAATTTGACCATCACAAATTCCAAGAGCCATTAAACCAGCTTCACTACCGCAACTTATAAAAACCAATACTGAGTTGTGGGGTTCCCCCCCCAAACAGTGAAAGAAACAGAATAGTGCAATTTATGTAACACATTTAAAGGGTAACTTTTCCACACTGGCTCCCACTAAGGCAAACTTCGCAAAAAGACAAAGCCACGTCCAATAATAAAAAAGGAGTAGAGAGAGACAGGGAAATCTCACAAAATTAAGGAAGCAATATAAATGGCGTACCTGATATAATCCCTTTTACAGTAGGTTTTCCCATCTCTAACAAAGCAGGTACAGCTCTCGTCCAAATACTGATTACACTCTGCACATTTCAAACATGCTGCATGCCATTCCAAATCCGGAGAAACCCTCAGAATATACTGATCGTGAATTTGATTGCCGCAACCAACACATAGGGAAATCAGACGTTTTTCTGAAATGAAAATAAATACATGATTGACTAACCGTTTACTTCCTACAGAGATAAACACACTTTTAGTGTCGTTCTCTTATAGGGCGTACTCTGGGAGTTTTTCCCCCCCTTTCTTTCTTCTTCTTCTTCTTCTTTTTTTTTTTTTTT